TGGGGATATCGAGTGAGGAGCGTGCGCTCTCGGAGCCTCGGCCAAAGTCATACTTGGACGATGCCTGAACGGAAAATGGGCGAGATCTGCTGTTGGCCGATTTGGATCGACTCGTGAGCTCTTCCAACTCCAAGGTCGATGGTCGCACGCCTTCCAGGGACGGCCGCGCCGACGAGGTCGACAGATCGGAGATGCGGTCCGCAGATGTTCTTGGGTCCGCGGAGGGCTTCGTAGGGGACGGAGGGTTGAGGGGCCGGGAAATTTTCTTGTCGCCGTCCGCGGGCCACGGTTGGCTGGAGGGCCGGCGCTGATGGTCTGATGAAGGGAATCGATAGATGGGGCGGCTAGGGGGTTTCAGCTCCGGCACCGACGGCGTGTGGGGTGGCGACGTCATTGTGCCTGTGGAGACCATGGTCGGCTTCTGCGGCACCGGTTGGTACAGTGGCACCTGCGACGGCTGGGGCTCCTCGCGGTAGTTGAACGACTCGGAGGGCCGGCTCTTGGCGTGCGACGGCTGGGACTGCTTCTGTACCGGTGGTTGGGGAGCCGGCTCGCTCACCGCGGGCGAAGGACGTTTGGCGAAGGCCTCATCGGCCAAGGCGTTGGTGAGCCTCTGCGCAAGATCGCCATCCTCTTGTTTCGTCTCGGCGAAGGCTGGCTCGAAGTCGAACTTGCCACCCTTCTCGTGCAGAATATCAAACTGATCCAACGAGGGGAACCGATTCGTAAACTCGTCTGTAGAGTTCCGGGATTTCTGGCCGCCATCCAAGACGGCGAAGGGGTCTGTGGAGCCACCCCGGAATGGGGAGGGGCTTGGCTTTGCGGAAGTGTGCTGAGAACCGGTCGGTTTTGTCGGCCGCCCGCGCCGCATGGGAGCAATCTCTGGGATGATCTGGGTCTCCTGGACCGGAGGAGAGAACACTGCGCCGACTTGCGGTGTCTCCGTCGGGGACGGCGGCAGTTCCTGATACCGGCGGGCTTCCGACCTAGAGCGATTCGCGTAGATCTACACAAGTAAGGAGCCGAGCACGAATCCCGCCATTGGGAAAACTCACATCTCGAATTGGAACTTCTTTTCCTTGCATGTGGCAGACTTCTTGCACCACCTCATAGATATTTGGGCGCTTTTGCGGGTTCTCCTTCAACATCCATGCTAAGCCGAAATTAGTATCCCCTCACGGCCGACATTCAACTAAACTTACCGATGAGCATCCTGAGGCGATCCGAGAAAACAGGGTAGGAAGGGAATTTGTAGGTCGCATTCAGGATAGCCATTTGGCCCACTTCTTCGAACGGGGTTGTATAGTAGCATAGCTTGTATAGAAGTACACCTAGCGCCCAGATATCGCTCTTCTCGTCGATAGGTTGCTTGCGATAGACATCGATCATCTCCGGACTCCGGTACTGCAGGGTCGTGTGCCTCTGTACGTCGTCCTCAATCAGGCGGCCCTCCGCGGCTGACGTCGCCGCTGGACGAGGGGGCGCTGCAGAGCCAAAATCGCACAGCTTATAGACACTTGAGGTCCCATGTCGGGATATGAGAACATTCTCCACCTTCAGATCGCGGTGCAGCAAAGGGGGTTTCAGGTAGTGCATGCAGGCCACTCCCTCGGCTACATCCGAGAAGATCTGGATAATCTCCGGTTCTGTCAACCGATGCTGCAAGCGCGTGTTCATGAAGTCGATCAAGCCTCCGCCCGAACAGAATTCCATGAGCAGGAACACTTCGTAGCCGCCACCCCGGAGCTGAGACGCATGAGAGTCGAAATACTTCACAATGTGCCGGTGTCCCTTCAATTTCTTCATTGTCTCGACCTCGGTCCGCATGTTGGCGAGCGCCGCTTTGTCCGGCACGGCGACCCGCTTCAGCACCGCCCTCTCTGAACCCTCGACGGGCTGCGGAAGACGCACGACGTAGACATGGGCAAATCCACCTTCGGAGAGGTACTTCTCGACGACCACGCGATGACTGCCGACCTGGACTTTGGTGCCTGGTAGGAAGGTGCCTGCCGGGGCGTTCACCGCGGCCAACGGATTGTACGACGGAATCGGCCTATGAGAGGCGGCATGGCTCTGATAGGATTGGGGGTTCGACTGATAGGACATGGTGACTGGGGAAGCCCTCGAGGGGCGAGATTAAATGGCCGGTCGTAGGAAGAACTATGGTCGCAGCATAGAGGAAACGGTCAGAGACGAGGAAAGGGCCGGAGTCGGAAGTCAGGAAGGGCGACTGATACAGAGGACAGTTGGCGGCGGGGAGGTGGATAGAAGGAGGAGGCGGCGATTTGGGGGCAGACCGGTACCTGACTGGACCCCGGTGCAAGGAGGGTAGAGGTGCGTTGGCGGGGAAAGAGGGAGGGATCGAAGACCGGTGGACAGAGAACGAAGTCTTCTTCAGATTGGAACCAACACAGCGTTCAAGGAGAACTGGTAGGAGAAGAAAGAACTGCGCGCCCCGACTGACCAGCAGTTCACTGACTTCGTAGTTTGGGCCCGTGCCTTTGGTTGGCTGGCAGTCACGGGCATTTCCCCGACCGCTGACTCAGCCGCGAGCATCTCCAGTTTTTCCCCATGTTGCCCCTCGGACTCCTCTTACTATACGTCTCGTCTATCTGATAGAAACATACAAACGGTCATTGCATTGTTCCTGGTCCTTGTTTTCATTACAACTCGTGGATATTCTACAGGATCATCGTGATGCTCAGGAACAGTGCATGACCTCGGGTCACGAGAACCCTGGGAATGCCGACGCTTCGGCCATGGAAACCGTGTCGGCATAAGTAATCTGCCAGCCAACGGCAGTCGTACGCGAGATAACAACGATGATCGCTGAAATTTCCTGTGGATAGGCGTGGAATTCATTTCAATCTTGTCCCCATAAAAGATCCAAAATGAAACCATAGGCAAAACCCAGGCGAGACCACTTCAGACTCGGCCCAATCCATTCGCCACCCGAGGTCCAAAGCAAGTGCATTCCGTCCCATACTTTGCATCACTAGTCATGTCATTTTCGGGTCATCCGACCATCCATTCCATAAAGTCACATCTTCACACGGAACTGCCATCCCGACGCCAAAACCCTGGCAGCGATCAAGGCGGCCGTCCCGACCAACAATGACGTGCCTGCCCAGATCTGTGCTGGCAAATAATTCCCCCCCGCGTTCGCAATCATTGCCCCAGCTACCGACGGCCCGGTGAGAGGCGCGACACTGGTCAGGGTCAATACCATGCCTACGCGAGTACCTATCTTGCTGATGTCCTTGGTCAATGACGGCACGGTACCGGCAAACAGACCCATGGCCGCGGCGGACGCAAGACCGTAGAACACCGCAAAGACGTACAACTCAGCGACGTTGTGTACGGTGGCCCAGCAGTAAATCAAGATCCCGCAGAGGGCCACCCACGGGATAAGGCTGTTTAGGGGGCCGATCCATCGGTCAGCAAGATATCCGCAGGGAGCCCGAATCACCATACCAGCTGCATTTATGATGATGATTAGGTTGACCCCGGCAGCCTGCGAGAGACCCAACTCTTTGGTAGCGTAGACCTGGATCTGCAAGAAATCAGTCAACCTCGCCAGCCAGGCCCGAAGTACGGGGCTTCTCACATAGAAAAAAGCAAAGTACAGAGTCCAATACAACAGGAAGATCCCGAACGTGAAGAGCATGTAAGAAGTGTCTTTGAACGCGGTCCATTCGACCAATGGACCGGACTTGCGAGGTGGAAGCCGAGTGCGCACCAGCAGATTGATCAGGATGACCATAAAAAGGACAATAAATCCCATGCAGCGGACAGCCCACGGAAACCCTAAAGGTGCAGCGTCAATACGGCATGACTACCTTCGCATAAAACGAACCAACCTATCTTCGGGGCCAAATACTGAATCACTGCAGGGAATATCATTCCACCCGTGCTTGTACCCGTCGCCGCAGTTGTCACAGCGAATACTCGCTTCTTGGCGAAATATGTGGAAATCACTGTCACACTGGGCAACCACATCAGACCCTGTCCGATCCCGATGCATACGCCCTGTGCGAGAAAGAGTTGCCAGTATGTGGTCGCTAAGCTGGTCATAAACGTGCCCACAAGCATGAAGATCGATCCGGCCAGTATCATTGGCCGGGCAAAGCCAGCATCCGTGGCCCGTCCCGACAGGGTTGAAATGAACAAAAGGCTAAATACTTGAACGCCTCCGATCCAGGAGATATCAGAGGCTGACTGGGGGAGTGTGGTTTCATAGTAATTCTGAAAGACGCCAAAGCTCGAAACGTAACCCCAGGTGAGGGCTAAAATCAGATGTCCTGATGCCACTTGAGCCCATGCCTCAAAACCACCGTCAGGCGGCGGTGGTGATTGCAGGGGGATCTCGCTCGGTGGCAGCGCCGTATCTGTAGCTTCATCTTCTTTGACCATCGTTAAGTATATTCAATACAAGCTGCAGATCCGTCCAGAGCCTAGACTATGCTGGAAGGGTTCAGTCTGACGTTGAGGGGAACACTCAAGTAGGGTTTGATACGGCCTCATCTGGGTATCCCCATGGCATTTTGGGCCAATGATCTCAATTTCGAACGCCGAGGGCAAGCTCGAGGATCGGTCTGATTATCCCAATAGACTTTCGTCATAATCAGTTAATGCAACGACGCAATCCGTGGCCAACCAGCTCCAAGTGAATGGTGACACTTGGGGCACGTGATGGCCTTTGTTTGACGGGCCATCATGCTAGAATTCGTGTAGAGGAAGGCAAGGTCTACCAGAAGGAGCTTTGTTAATGTATGAACGTCTGTGCTGCATTATATACAACTAGGAATAGGTGAATCGCAAGAAATCGTCAACATCATAAGCAATCAACAACAGGGGGAATCTCTGTACAAACGAAGGTCTAGCCAGAATGACACTATGCAAGGCTGGATCTTGAAATAACATCTCGCTATGAGTGGTGAGGTGAATAATATATACTGTATAACAACCCATGTTGGATCGGTGAAAAGCACTGAAGCTGATCAGATGTATCCAAGGTTCCCGAGTATCGAGCGGCCCTCATTGACCGACATGTTCGTCACCCCCAGAGATCGTACTAGCGCCCCCTTTCGAAGTCGCTGAAGCCCGATGCCCACCTTCCAACCTTCTGTCTCTTCCAGGACGAAAAGATACTTTCGACCCTCCTGGTCACGAATGCTGGCCCGTAGCACATGGAGCCCCTGTTTCTCAGACTGCGGCCCTGGCGACGCAAGGCGACATGTATTCTTGCACACCTTCAGTAGATTGAGTAGGTATGCATCGGATTCCGCTGATGAAGGTCCTTCGTCCCGTCGACCAAAGAATGAACTCTGCTTGGGAGGGTTATGCTTCTGGGAGGCATACTGTGGACACCACACCTCGACCAACTTCATCGTCCACGCCTTGACGTCCCATTCTCGCTGACCCACTCCCCGGATATCGTCGTCAACGAACAGCCCTTCGGTAGTGATACGCAGAACCAGTCCGTCCGTCACCATTCCCTGCCCAGAGACCAGCTGAGCCGCCGGGCTCTTAATAAATGCATTGTTGAACTGGAAGACACCTTTAATAACAATCTTATCCGGGTCTTTAGTTTCATATCGTCCTCGATTTGATGGTGGAGGTGATGTTCGAGCCGTGGATTGGGAAGGAGCGTAGGATGATTCAGAGTATGCTGACGAGCTTGACGTACCCCCATATGGCCGTCGAGGTCTGTCGTAAGGTCGAAAGGAATATGCATCATCTTGGTCGGCAGACATCGTGGTTCGTGCTCCAGACGGGGGCTTCTTCGGTGATGGGCTTCGCGGAGGGACTGATGCGCTGCCTGCTTTCTCCTTGGCAGTCTTCGCCGCGGCTTCTTTCGCTGCTGCTGCCTCCTTGGCCGCTGCCTCTTGGGCATCTTTAGCCTTCTTCTCGGCATACTTCTTGGCTGCCGCCTCCTTGAGGGCTGCAAACTTGGCATCTGCCTCCTTCTTTGCAGCCGCTTTTGCAGCCGCTTCCTTCTCTGCGGCTTCTTTCTCCGCCTTAGCTTTTGCTTCAGCGGCCTCCCTTTCAGCCTTTGCCCGAGCTTCGGCTGCTTCCTTCTCGGCACGCTCTCGTGCCTCCTTTGCCGCTGCTTCTCTGGCAGCGGCCATCTCTTTCTCGAACTGCTCCCTTTGTTCACGCATTTCCTTCTCCATCGCCTCGCGCTCCTGCTGTCTTTGCTTTTCTTGCCGCTCAGCCTCTCTCTTCCGCTTGAACTCTTCCATTTTTCGTCGAAGCTCCTCTTTCCGTCTCGCCTCTTCACGTGCCTTTTCTTCCCGTTCTCTTTCTGCGCGGGCCTTCTCCTCGCGGGCCTTTTCCTCGCGAGCTCTCTCCTCCCGGGCCTTTTGCTCCCGAGCTTTTTCCTCCCGGGCTTTTTGCTCTCGGGCCCTTTCCTCTCGGGCCCTCTCCTCACGAGCCTTCTCTTCCCGTGCTCGCTCCTCGCGAGCTTTCTCTTCGCGGGCCTTTTCTTCCGCTCGGGCCTTCTCTTCGGCCTTGGCCGAGTCGGGCTTATTTGGTCCTGGGCCAGCGTTAGGGGGAGGTGTCTGAGGCGGAGGGCCGGCACCATACTGATTTCCAGAGTACTGGCTCCCTGGCGGAGGTCCATAATTTCCGCCGTAGTTCCCTCGCTCTCCACCAGCATTACCCCTACCTCTCTCATATTCTCCTCCGGCACCGGCCTGGCCAGTACTGCCTCTGGCACTTCCGGAG